AATACTTTTCAAATTCTAATTCTCATATGTTATGCAGTAAACTTAATATTTTTAATGTAAACTATCTTACCATGAATGGTGTATGATGTCCTAGAGCAAGTAATCTTAATCCAAGTCCATGTAATATATTCACCATACCAGCCACACCAGCATATTTTCCAAATGCAACCACTCTTTGTCCATTAACGTCTGTTAGTTTTTCATAATCTAATAAGCGTATATTCTTTTCAAGTATAGCATCTAGAAGAGGCATATTACTTTCTTGTGCCTTGATTGTATGAGAAAAAAAGCAGTACGTTTTATTAGATATAAGTTGATCCACAGGAACTTGTTTCACTCCAAAAATAACTGAAGCAGAGCTAATATCCTCTTGTAATAAAGCACCTGCAGCTTGGTAGGATTGTGCAGGATAAGCTCTTCTATTACTAGGTTGTACAATTACTTTTACTCCTGCTCTAATTAATTGACGAACATTTGCAGGTGCTAAGGGTGCTCTTCTTTCCCATACTGACTGATCTTCTCTTCTAATTGCTATTATTTTGCCTTTTAAGGTCTGCAATAAATACTTTTAATTAAAATATCTAATATTTGCATTTTATAATGGTGCTTATTTTTGTTATTACTAGACTGTGGATATTTATGCAGCTAAACTCATTCAAGTATGTAACAAATATACTGACAATATGATAAAATTATGCAGGATGTATTCACATATTATGTACATATTACATGTAATTTACAAAATATCAATAATTTTATTATGTACTCTTATTTATTATAGTTTATATTACAATATATAACAATGGTATTTTTGTAGATTTTCTACTGTGAATTGGTATTGTTTATCTGAGTTTATTTAAAACTCCAATATCATGCCAGAACCACTTTTGGTCCTTTTATGTACCATGCATTAGTACCATGCAAAATTTTTGGATCGTGACCAGAATTTTTCTAAATAAAATGATTAAATTTCTCTTTAATCATTTCTCTTTAATTTTTTCACCAGAAGTACCAGGTATGTTTTTAACGTTTTCAGCAATTTGAGCAATTCTGTCGATGCGAATAAAGTCATTTACCTATTTCTTAATGTTTTCATATTAACTAGAAGAGTCCCAAGGTGGGCTCCAATATATATCAAATCCTGATGTAAGTTTTCTTGTTTGAAAATTTCTTTTGCAACTCTAATTGATGCCACATCTTTCTCATGAAACAACACTATTGCCTATTTTAGAAATAATATCATATTGGGAAATAATTTAGTTCACCAGATGAAATGAAGACTTACAAATGAATATCTCTCTAATAGCCTTTAAATACTTCTCCTCTAACCAGATTCTTCATCTTGCTGTAATTGATTGTGGTGGATGTGGAACATTTTGAATTTTTTTTTTACTTCTACACAATGGAGAGTTTTCAAAAACACTTATTTCACTGTAAATATTAAAGTGTTAATTATAGAAAAGTGTAGTTGTAATTTTCAACTGTCTAACAATCTAACAGTTACATTGTTGCAAATAAATTAATAAGCTAAATTGTGGTAAATAAAACTGACATTAAAAGAAAAATATATAAAATGTACATGAAATATATAACATATTTATTCATCAGTCGTATATGTAAAATATGCAAAACATATATAATATAAAAAATATCCACAGTTTAGTTATTACTATTAATCATAAAAAATACATATTGTACTTATCTATATCTTACATTAATACAACGAACTGAAGACATATGGGTATGTAATGTTAATAACTTCACATTAAATTCACACTTGTATAGTTGCAAAACCCTCATAATTTCCCTATATAATCATATAAAATATCTAAGAGAATTTCCCAAAAATAATGTTCAGTATTCACTAGTTTAGTTAAATTTAGAACAGTGAAGTTAGAAGAAACTATCGTGTATTACAATACATCGTGGTTACTTCTATTTTGAATTAAAGCTACTATATTTCCATGTTGATATTACATAGGTCAAAGAGGTCAATGCAAAACTGAGAATAAATTACGACATCACTGATAAACTCGAAGCGGTGTCTTTATCAGAATGATTCGACTCTCTATAACCATGTGCTGTCATCTTAATTCATTCAGACTGAGAAAGTTTCATGTTTTCAATTAGGGTGATCTTAGTTTTAACTTTTTTTAACATTATAATAAAATAATATAACAGATATAATGTTAATTGTTAATATATTCACTTTTACACATTGTCATTCTTATACATTATTATATATCCATTGGGTACAATTATTATTAAATAATAAATCTTTTTTAATAAATTTACTTTATTACTATACAAAGTATTTTTACATGTTACATAAAATAAATATCGAATGACATGTTAAGGTAATTGTGCTATACTATAAAAATATTATGCAAACATTAATTAGATTGTGTTTTAATAGATAAATACATTTTATTTTTTATTGTCTGCTTGGTTGGATTGATCTTTTTTAATATTTGAGTCATTACATTAACTAACTGTTCAGAAGTAAGACCAGTTTTCTTGGATTTAAACTTTTGCAAAAGTTCCGTCGTTGTCATTGGTTTGCGCATGAGATAACGTCTAACTGCATCTTCTGTGATTCCAGATTCACTGTAAAATAACAAAAAAATCTTAATATTTTTCTATAAAATATCACAAATTGTTGATTAGAGATAATAGCAACAATTTTTGTACGTATATTTGTAGTTTGTAAAAATCATTTAATGTCATCCACTAGCTCCTCTAATGCACATTTTTGCATTGTTAAGCAACTCATTCATAAATAAATATACATAATATTTGCAAAAAATGTGCAAAGAGAGAGAGAGATGTGCAAATGTTTTAAGAGAGATAACATAAATGATCGAAACTATAAAGTAATGAAAAAAGAATATCTGTTAAAGTGCTTTAATTTGTTAATATTTTTCTAATTAAAAGTACAGTATAAAATAAATGTTTATAATTTTAACGATGATTATGTTCAGAAAATATGTTCCGACTTAAAGTTTAACTAATTTTCACTACAATTTTCTCTCTTTTCGTATAATTCACGAGATGTGTTGAATTATACCAGTGGTGGGGTCCCTCGTGTGCATACTTCCCCTTCCAACCGATTTTCTCACATATGTGTAGTAAGTACTTACATTATAGGGAAAATTACACGACGTGAAAGAAGCGGCTATAGCAAGGGCCAAATGTATTGGCTGGTCAAGGCTATTTCTCCTTTGTCGTTTTTTCACATTAAAGAACCGTACCAAAAGAGACCTGTATATGTAGTAGTTTGACAGGTTAACGACATAAGGGTATACTTATTTCGTCTATTTTTTGACAATATACTCTTCCTGTCTTATGTCTTGTGAGGACACGGCAAACTTAGTTTAAAGACAGAATGGAAAGATTCTATAGGGTGACTGTTAACTAATACATGATAAAAGTGGAACCGAAAAGCGACGGAAGAAAAATGACCTTAGCTTGCCACTATATCTAGCACTTACTATAGTTAGTGAAGTAATAATGCAGGCACGAAATGATTTCCGTGCCAAGGGCAGGGACTAGAGTTCACTGGATTAGACAAAGCTCCAGAGGAGGTAGAACTACCATAACTTTAGGCTTCTCAGTGAACCGATGACCCTTAAGGTACGCGAGAATTGATCACCAGAATCTACTCCCTAAAACGCCAAGGATAAACACGCATACTACCTAACCAAAGAGCTAATGGTTTGGAATGCCTCGCGACATGTTTGGTTTAGCTTGATTCAGCTAAGAGAAAGAACGGGAAATTATAACTAACTTTAAATAACCTTTTTGGGTTATAACATTAAGTTTAAATATTATAATGTATATTAATACTATTTATTAAGATTTTCTGGTATAATAAAAATTGAACAGAAATATTTAATCCAAAACGTATTATTATAATAGCATTTCTTTTTTTAATTCATTGCAATGAAATAAAAAGGAAAATCTGTATACAAAGTAAGGTTCATAATAATATATAAAAACATACCTGGCTCCTGGAATATAAGAAGTTACTGGTACTAAATTAAAATTATCCAATTTCAATTTCTTTGCTTGTGATAAATCTGGGGATCCAGATTGCTTTCTTTTTAATGAATCTGATATACCAGCAGGTGTAGGTGTTGCGGATCTTGAACTATGTGCACTATTTGATTTTTTGTTATCTTTTTCTTTTACTGTATCAGATTCCGAACCGGAGTCACTAGAAAACTCGCTAGAAGAATCTTTTCCTGATGTAATTTTCTTTAAATCCTTTTTCTTAGATTGCTTTTTCTTTTTCTTTTTATCTCTTTTTTTATCTGCATCTTTGTTAGTCTTCTCTTTATCCTATAAAATTCGAAAAACCAAATAAATAATATTTCTAGCAAAATAAATATTGTAATTCCGTATCTTTTTATTTCACCTTATCATCCTTTTCTTTATGTTCATCATCTTCATCTTTATCTTCATCGCCATCCTTTTTATCTGCCTGTTCTTCATCATCTTCATCTTCATCAGAAGCAAGTAATTTTCTTAAAGCATCTTCTTCTGCAACCGACTTAATTTCTTTTTGCTGTTCTAATTCTGATTCAGAATCTGAAGAATCAGAAATGTAATCACATTCTCTGCCTTCTTCATCTCCATCATCACTTTCTTCAAATGCCTCATCGTCGGAAGCATTCTTCTTTTTCTTTTTCTGAGTATTAACTGATATAAATATTTAGATTATATATAACATAAACAAAAACTTACTTATCTAAACAAAACATGATAAATAAAGTACAATCAAGCAGTTATCGATTATAATTACCACATGTACTGGTTAAAAATATCATGTATGACATCCACCTTTGCCTTTTTTCTTCTTATTATTATCCTCTTCTTCATCAGAGTTCTTTTTAGTTTCATCATCATTAGAAACTGAATCATCATCACTGTCCATCCACTCATCCATTTCAGATATTTTTAAGTCTTTTTCCTTTTTACTTGGCTTTTTACTCTTTCCACCATCTATCAGTTCTTCATCATCAGCACCTTCCTCATCATTTCTAAGCCTTTTACGCAACATCAATGAAAAATAATTCATTACTTTATTTCTACGACTGAATTCTTGCTCTGCTTCTTCTGCACTTAGTGCTTTGTATCTTTGAATTGGTTGAAAATTATACCTAAATATACAAATTTTAAATATCAAAATAATTAAATTTTAATTTTCAAATAATCAAATTTTTTTACCATTCATGTAATGGAAAAGCTTCTATAGCTCCATCAGCAGCGTGTGTAAAAACATAATATGCAGCATTTTCACTCACACCTCCTTCCCTTATACCTTTGAACTTTTTTCCAGTTTTTCCACCAGATTTTAAAATCCATGGTTGATCTTCTGGTTTATACTTTCTACTTGTAATACCAAACTTTTTCCTCCTAGCTTCTTCTCTTGCATCTCGTCCAAATTCAGATCCAGCTCCAAATTTTGGCATCTCCTCTTCTATACCTTTATATTCCTTTATATTATTTTCACGTTCCATTTTTACTTGTGTCCATTTTGAAAAATCAACATTCAATGTCGCATTGAAACGCATTACATTGTGCTTTTTCTTATTATTTCTAAAACATTACATTGTTTTACCTAAAGAAATTATTTCACTAAATATTTACAATTATTAAAAAATTATTTCATTACATACTTTGGTACTCTGATACTAAATTCCTGAATGGAAGGTGCAATAGACACCTAAAATTATAATTATGTTGCTTTAATAAAATCATTTTCTTTTTATATAAATTTAATATTATTTCATTGCTTCTGGGATATTCTACAATGAATTTATACATATATAATATAGAAAGCAACTGCCTTATGCATTGACTTACTGTAAGTTATTGACAAATATGAAAACTTCACTACATTTCTAAGTAGATATAATGTGAATTGCTTATAAAAAATGCACATTGCATTAAAATATTTTATAGAATGCTATCTTTGGACTTTTAAATTCATTCCTCTGATTTTCATCAAAATGCTTAAGGATAGAAGCTTCCAAAAAGTAAAACTGAAACACTTTAGACTGAAATTATTTTCTTACAGTACTACTAATAAAATTATTTTTTGTTTATAAAATATTTTATTAAT